AAAAGTACTTCTTACATGGTGGTTGATTTAATTTCACTCCTCTAAATCGGGGCTTTCATATAGCTCAATTTCGGATCGAAGCTCTCTTAACCTTGGGTTATAAGTGATAGGTTGGGGAGGATCGAGATAAGTCCATGGGGGGCTAGAGATCAAGTTATCGAACTAGAGCCTAAAAGGGTTGGAGGTTTAGTTAGCGATCTAGAGCATAGGATGGTTGAAGGTTGAGTTACCGACCTTGGGTTTAAGCGACCTGAGTCTTTATACACGGTGACCTATCACCTGGCAAGCGACACAATGAACCGATACAAGTGTTAATCACATGACATCTAATGAAAGGTATGATTGTGAAAATTTTGAAAATCTAAGAGATATGAAAGATATATCACAAAAGGATGTGTATATATTCGGTTTCCTTAGAAAGACATAGTTATTGGGAAACAAGATAGCTATTCTCTTATTAGAAGAGTAGAGTTCCAAGGAGTGAGCCCCTATAGGTCGACCCGATGCATATTGTTGCTTCGAGATTATGGGCACACTACGAACAACAGTAATGAACTCAATGATGAATTTGAAATATCCTTAAAAACTAGTTACAGGTCGGAATCGTCGGTTTTGGGTCGCAGTTTTGGAGACACTGGATTGGCCCGATCATATGTACAAGTCGGTTCAGTGAAGCGACGGTTCCGAGCCGGCTCATGAACCGTCGGTTCCAGTTGTTCAAATTTTTTTATATGATTGAACCGAAACTGGCCTGGGTAAAACCACAGTTTAAGACCCATGGTCAATGGGTTGGTTCAGCCCGTAGTCATGTCTATGTGGCAAAGCACGAGTTCGTCTTCATGAATAAGGAGCCTGAAAATGAAAAATATAGGGTAACAAAAGAAGTCGGGAGGACCGAAAGAAGCCCAAACATCCTCCCCGGAAGTGGAGGGTGATTTACATGATTGTCAAAGGGCCAACAACGAATGATGACTTGAATCAAACAATAAAGCGGCATGCTCGACGGGTGGATGGAATCGAGGAGGTCGAAGAGGTCCGAATTGCAGGAGAAGTGTCGCTTTTACAGGTACTCGAACGAGAAAGTCAAACACGATTCGAAGATCCAAAGAGAATCGACCATCTAAATCGAGATTATTTGAAAGATCCTATCATCTAGAATATATATTAAAAAAAAAAAGTTATAATATTGTTAGATTTTAAGAAAAGCATATGTTTGTGTATGCTACGCCGATTTTGAGAAAACCTTTTATACATAACTGAATTAATCAATTAAGCATCCTGTATATATAACATTATAAAAACATTTTAATTTTGTCATCCTGAAATTATATGGAGATATTTATTGTAACATGGCATTAACCCAAATGGAAATTATAAATCCATTGAATTTTTACATGTTATTATGACATGGCTTTATATCCGACCACGGTGAATTTTATATGTGAGATGCAACTTGTAAAGCTTTATCTTAGCACGGTAATTATCTGTTTAATCCACCTCTTAATCTGTACTTGGTAGTCCTAAACGACACTTACTGTCATGGGATTCTTGCCTTGGAATTTGGAAAGAGAAGGTGATTTTACAGTAAAAAATTGGATTTTAGCAATAATGTGGATTTCCCCTTTCTTGGATTATGTGAACAACGACACATAGTTGCAAGTATCTCCTAATTCTGGAAATATTACATTAAAGAAAGGTGGTTGTTAGTTATGGTGGAGATGTATTTGATGACTATAGCCTGCCATTTTAAAATAAGGCTTTCAATGCTTAGATAAAATACTAAGGTAAAAAAAAATGTGGTAGTATTAATCCTCTTGACAATCATCCCTACGTAGAATGAGATGGAACAATGAGTAGTAGAAACCATTTTAAATTAGAGGATTTCGTTCAGTATTTAACCATCTGGTTGTTATAAGTTTTACATTTAAAATTTGTAATTGTTTTTTCTTTTTATCTTACATTATGCATAAACATTTTTTTTTTTGTGTTTTATTTATTATACTTCTAGGTTTTCTTTGATATTGAAATGATTGCAAATATCACAGGAGGGCCAGAATAAGGATGTGCATGGATCCAATACCAAATCGACCAAACTCCCAAAACCAAAATAATTGAACAAGTCATTTATCGAAACCGAACAGGCCAGTTTTCGAAAGTCCGAACTGAACCGGTTGTTTAATTCTACTGACTAAGCAAATTAATCAAAATACATTATAATTTATTGTATATTTTTCTTTTAATATTTATATTTTTATATTACATATAATACATTTTCGGTACGGGTAATTCAGACATTTTGGAATTAAAAATCAAAACCGATAAAAATAACTTAAATACCAAAAAAAAATGAAAATGAAAATCAGTAACTGTTCGACAACAACCATACTTTCTTAAAAAAAAAATATTTATGTTATGAAATATCACACTTTCGGTTTCAGTTTATATTGTATTTCAAAACACGACTTTTGTGTATAATAAAATAATATTATTGCATAACCACCATGCAATCTAAGAGAATTTTATCCTAATGCCCGATGAATGATAATTCGGCAACCACTTGAAAATCAAGAACAAAGCTTGTTATTAGTGATATTATTAAGACCACTAATATAATCAATACTAGTGACATTATTGAGCAATTATTTACAAGACAAGTAACAACACATTGGAGAGAAATAGCTCCACACCAAAATACACAATAGCTATAGAAAAACTCAATGCAGTTACATCTCAAAAAATGCTCACAGAAAAAAACTCACTTTTTTATACAGCTATATAGTTTGTCTTTGGAGTGGGGCCTTCCTATGCAAATCAAACCAATAAATTATTTAGAACCATAAGAATGTGAAAGTTTTTGACCTCTGGTAGAGCTTACTGACAGTCTAGAGAAGTGATTACATATCATACCGTGAAGTATGGTTTTTGCTTTCAGAAACGGCAGGACTCAATTTGGTCTGTCCATAGCATCAAACACCGGCAGCAGCTTTGATATCAGAATCCAGTTTTCCCTGAATGATACAAAAAATATAATTAGCAGATGTGTGTGGCCTGTGATTATATTTAGGTTATGTTTTTATAACTTTTAAGTGAATTTCGAGCTTATAGTTGATAACTTATGACTTATGGCTGAAAAACTAGCTTATATAATAAAAGTGTTTAGTAAAATTACATGATAAGCTAGCTGAATAAAAATTTCAATTGGCTTATTCGAAAAGCTACCCAAGGAAGCTTATGAGCTCGAGCTTTGTAAAAAAGTTTGTCCTACCAAACCAAGTATTTTTGAATACAGGAAGCTTATAAGATAATCAAATAAGCTATAAGCTAGCTTATATGCTTACCAGACACTACCTTCTTATTACAAAAAGGTGGAAAATGTCTTACGTCTAACGGTTTACTTCGAATTTTGCGTGTAGGAGTTCTCATGGTGACGAGCTCCTCAGCTGCAGTGGGGTGGATACCAATTGTGGCATCAAAGTCTGCCTTAGTCAGCCCAGCTTTAACGGCTACAGCAAATCCCTGGAAAAATCACGGATTGAGAATTGACATTAATACTTAAACGAAAAGGATAAAGTCATAGTACAAAATAGAAAGCAATCCAAAATGACAACTAACTAGAGGAAGCCACCTGAACAATTTCAGGTGAATCATCTCCACACATGTGCAGACCAATGACTTTGTTCGTCTTTGCGCTAACAATGAGTTTCATGAAAACCCGTTCAGGAAGGCCCGAGAGAGTAGCTTTTAAAGGCCTGAAGTTCGATGTATAAACATCGATATCACCGTATTCTTTAATGGCCTGCTCTTCAGTAAGACCAACCTGACCAATGGGTGGCTGAGAAAACACTGCAGATGGCACAGCACTGCAATTGAAAGAGGCTTGAGTTTAGGGAAAAGGAAGCTTTGACATTTTCACATAAAACTGATGCATTTTATTGTCTATCTTGTTCTTACAGATATACATTTGACAAAGTAACTGGTTGTTTTTGCCAGTTGGCAAACAAATATATTTTGTGAATTGAGTTTTAATAAACAGCTACACTTTTTTTTTTTTCAAAAAACAAAAGGAAAAAACAAAAGAAAGAAAAACCACTCATCTGACTACAATAGGAAATAGAACCTGTAATCTGGTTTTATTGGTTCATTGGCAAACAAAGTTTTTGCCAATGCTCCTCCTTCCATTAATGCAACAGGTGTCAAGTTTATTCTATCAGTAACATCTCCAACAGCCCAAATGGAGGGAACAGAAGTCTGAGAGAATTCGTCAACCTGAGTAAGCATTTCAAGATTGAAAGCATTATCGCTCATTATTTGTCCAGATTTAGATGCAAGCTGACTTGGGAGGGAGAGAGTGTAACTGGACCAAAATGACTTAAATAGACGTTACCTCTATGGCTCCGTTTTTCGACATCTTCACACCAACTGCTTCTAAACCTAAATCCTGTTGCAAAAGACGCATGAATGTTCAGGACTCTTCATTGGTCTACCATGAATGATAGTTGAGTTTAAATTAATTAGGTAAAAGAACCGTAAACAAATGCTGCAATTAAACTTGAGAAGTGGACAACACACGTAATATCAAAATTTCCATATTTTTTTGACAACCCATGTAACCAAAAAGTCCACGAGAAAGGATAGGTCTTCACCTTCGTATTTGGTCTGCGTCCTGTTGCAAACATGACGTGAGAAAAACCATCAACTGTTCCCTTATTAGTTTTCACAGACAGGAGTCCATTTGATGACTTGATTATTGCCTGAGGCGTCTCCTCCGTGTGAAAATCAATTCCTTTCAATGACATCTGCTCTCCAACAAAGTCTCTGATCTGCAAAGTACAAGTTGAATCACTGGTCTCACAAATAAAAGATTTTCACAAGCATTTTTTCCAAGCACAAAAAAATGACCTCTAGAGGTGTGGTCACTAACCAAAAGAAAAAAAAAATAAAAAAAATTCCAAGTTAATACCCTCAATATTTACTCTTGTTCTCCACTTAAAACCTACGCATGGGGTATTATTGCCTTTAAAATATATATATATATATATATTTCGTTTCTGAATAGACCAAAAATGTAGGTTTGTTTTCTTAGTGTGTATTTAAGAGTATGGCAACAAACCTCTTCATCAAAACCCCTCAACACCTTTTTCTGCCTAATAAATACATGGACATCGCTCTTCAAGCCATTGAAGATGCCAGCAAACTCAAGTGCAATATAGCCGCCCCCAACTATGGCAATTTTCTCAGGCTTTGAAGGTAAATCAAGGGCCGCGTCAGAATCTATCACATATTCACTTCCCGGGATATCTGGAATGAAAGGACGCCCGCCAACTGAAATAAGAATATTCTTTGCTGAGTAAAGCTTTCCATTCACGTCTACTGTGTGTGGGTCCACAATCTGAATAGGAATTCATAACAACTCGGAGTTATGGGTCATTGGTTCGAAAGAAAAAAAAATAAAAAAGATTATGCACAGGCTTAGACTTTTAAAAAAAATCATCCAACCTTGCCACGGCCTTCAATTAGTTCGACACCAGCATTGTTCAGAATATTTTTATAAATTCCAGTAAGGCGGTGCAATTCAGCATTCTTATTTGCAATCAAGGTGCTCCAATCATGCTTGGGTTCTGCTTCATAACTCCATCCAAAACCACCACTCTCTTCAAATTCATGAGAAAATTTGGATGCATAAACAAGGAGCTTTTTCGGCACACATCCACGGAGAACACACCTTCACAGGATTCAACAGAAAATTATTGGACATTTCAAGGACTTCTCTGAGCAAAACAGGATGTCATGCAAAACGCATTCATCATTTGTAATCAGATGTCTCCTAGGATTGTATAACATAATATACAATTAATTCAACTCCAAGAAAAACAGGATGTCATGCAAATCACATTCATCATTTGTAATCAGATGTCTCCTAGGATTGTATAATGTAACATTCAATTAATTTAACTAAGGCTGAAAAAGAATCATTAAAACTTATAGCTGCAGGCGTGAGAAATAGTACAAATCTTTAAGTTCAGGGATATTAACAACATACTAAACAAGAATATGATCTTTTTAATTTAGAAGGAAGTCACAGAAACCTATCCAAGGACTTACCTTTAAGCAAAAAGAACTTATTTCTGGTAGAAACCAATGACATCCAAAAAAGAAAAATTTTCCCCTAAAATTGCAGTATTAGGATGAAGAAGTCCATAGCTTTTTAGTTCACATTATTGTTCAATGCATTAAATTAACCCAGAATTCCCTCTATTGACTGAATTGTATCTAATTAACACGCACACACACACCAGGCTCGTGAAGATACATGATAACATACTCAGACAACGAAAATAATAAAAGGCACAACGCAGTAAGTCCTCATCAAACAAACTAAAAAAGAAACAGTGGAAAAAGGAAGAATAATGAAGATTAATCATACACGAAATTAAATAAAAACATACGTGCCGCCAACTCCGCCTGTCGAGTCGGATGAAATCGTAGAGAAAGGCAGCTCGCAGACGGCAACTTTAGCCCCAAAATTGGCGGCGAAGCGAGAGGCTCTGACGCCCCCGCTGCCGGCGCCGAGTGTAAATAGGTCGTAGTCGAACTTCCGCGTCGGCTCGGCTCCGTTGGCGGACTCGGAGCGAATTCCGGTGGTGAGGCGGCGGCGGCTCCGATGAGAGGAGTAGGCGGAGTGGGATAAGTCTCTGGAGCTCAGCGATTTGGTGTGATGAGAGAACGAGAGGAAGGTAATCGGGAATCTGTAGTTGCGGAGGGTTTGCAGCGCCGGCGAAGTAAGCGACGAGCCGAGCCTCGGCGTGCTCAGAGATGTGGCCGCCATTGAAATCTCGGTTCACGTCTCCGTTACCGAGTTACCTATCTTATATCCAACTCAATCTAAATTATGGAAAATAAAATATTAGTATCTATCATTATATAAAAAGAATAACATTTTTACAAATTTAGAAACCTTTTTTCCCGCCAAAATCATTAAATATATCCTACATATAGTAATTGTTGGACAAATCTGAATAGGCAAAAAAATCGGCTCATTAATTGTGTAACGATTTATTTCTCCTATTTTTTTGACAATAAATATTTGTTTTTCTTTTTCCTATTTTTAGTATAAATCTACACGAGCTTATCTTTTCTGTTACAAAATCTCATTGCATACAGAAATTAATTTGAAAAAATAAAATAAAATAGAAACTAATTCATAATTACTACTAGAAATCCATTATCTTTAAAAAAAATAAAATAAAATAGAAATCAATTCATAATTACTACTAGAAATCCATTATCTACTTTAAAAAGCTAATTTTTATCGGTCTAATTACTAATATTTTTACAAATGTTATAAGCTAACCATATAAAAAAGTATAATAATAATTTTGAGATGGTGTGTAATCAATTTTTTTCATATTCTCTTATACAAAATAATTTACATTGTTTGACCCTGAATCTTTAATTTATAATTATTAAGTATTGTTTATCCTCCTTTTTAATTTATAATTATTTTTTTTTCTTCTTCTTTTTAAATAGGAGCAATAGTAGTTTCCACTTCCGCCATTTAATGACTCAAACTCGAGGTCTATTTATAATATTGTTAATTTAATATTGTTCCCGTGCATCGCACGAGGTACACACTAGTAAATTACTATTAGGGGTGCACATTCGGTCGAAATCGAATCAAACCGAACCAACCGAAAACCGAACCGAAATTTATAGTTCGGTTCGATTTTTAACCGAATATTTATCAGTCGGTTCGGTTTGGTTATCAGTTAACCAAACATATTCAAAAGATTCGAAACTAAAATCCATCAAGTGAAATACCAAAATCGTCACCGAATCTGAAAAGCCCTAAATTGAAGCACGATGTAGTCGACAATTTGGAACCCGCGACTCAGATCAAAGACATGTAAATCAACAAAAAAAAAAAAAATGATTATAACAATCACAAGGTAAAAGAAGAAAGAGAGCAATTGATAAAAAATTGAAAGCTTCAATTGGCTCAATTGAAATTCACCAAATCATTTCAATCGAAATAGGGCTTTGCCGAATTTGTTCAATTGAATCCCGAGGAGCAGCTCGTACAAGGGATTTGGGTTCCCCGAGGAGCAGCCCGCACGCGGGATTTGGGTAGCGAACTCACTGATGGAGTTCCACTAATTTGAAAAGACGAGCCGTCGAGTGCCGAATAAGGCTTTGCCGATTTGGGTGTGTGTCGGAGAGCGAGCGGCGAGCACTGAGCGCGGCGGGTTGAACGGTGATTGTGTGCGGCGGGAGACGAAGTTATGGCGGGGTTGTGACATGTGACTGAAAGTGCAGTATGAGTTTGAGTTTTGGTAGACGAAAGAAAGATTGAAGAGGAAGAGCACTGTAATGGGCTTTTTTTAAGAAAGAAAGAAAAAAAAAAAGTAATGTAATGGGCCTGGGTGGGTGGCATGCGGGCTGTTGCATGTGGGTGCCTGGTGGGCCTCATTTTATTTGCTTGCCTCAAAACATGGGTGGTGTAATATTGGGCATTTATAACTTATACAAATAATTTCGGTTTTCGGTTCGGTTTGGTTAACCGAGCACGTATTTCATAACCGAACCGAAAACCGAAATTTTAGGAATCTACAAACCGAAAACCGAACCGAATATTCAATTTCGATTTCGGTCCAAATCGAATTTTCGGTTTCGGTCGGTTCAGCTCGGTTAACTGTATTGTGTACACCCCTAATTACTATATGTATGAAAGTTACATTTAAAAACATATAATAGGCACATTATAAATTATAAATTTAAGTTTTATAAAAATGAGAAACATAATTATATATTTTTTACTTATATATTAATCATTATATAATTACGAATGATGTAAATTTTTTAGACGTAATTAATTAAAAAATAAATAAATTGGATAGTCATTCGGCAATTTTGGTGGTGGTGTTTATTGAATAGTCACTCTTTCTATATATAGATAAGGTCTATATTTTCAATGGAGATACGTAAGTTTATGTTAAAATATAATAATTTTAAAAATAAATAAATAAAATTATATATTAGGATATGTTGTTTAAACATTTGATACTAATTAAATTTATTGTGTAATGTCTATTGTGATATATGTTGAGAAAAATACGCTGAATTTTTCATGAAGTCGGATCTATAAAAGTGAAATAAAAAATAAAAATTGGACACACCAAATTGATAACGGAGTTCGGCCAATAATGCCTACGTCTCCGGACTACTGCAGATATTTTATTGGGAAAAAGAAAATACACTCGTGTTTACAAAACACTCTCGAAACCACTCACAATTCACAACTCAAAAAATACACACAAATGCTAAATTATTTTTAGCTCACTCTCTTTTTTTATCTCTCTTGTGTTTTTCTTTGTTGTGGTGCTTTGTTGTGATGTATATGTTAATGAGAATACCTCTATTTATAGAGGGAGAGAGCAATGTGAACATTGCACTCAATTCTAGGCGCCTGTCAAAGAAAGGATGCTACCGTCCATTTTTCCTTCTTTTGCTGTTGAAAGGCTGCTGCCTTTTTTTCTTTGTTTTGTTGTTGTTCAAAAAACTGTTGTCAAATAAATGGCCCCGCAGCCATTTTTGACTCAACAATCTCCCACTTGAGGACTGATTTCAATCTGTCCTCACACCTCAATTTCTGCAGTAGTCTTCTCAGGTTTGTTATTCTAGTAGGCCAACTGAAGTTGAGCACAACTTCAGTTTGTCAATGGTCACCACCTTCGTTAGCATATCTGCTGGGTTCTTGCTTCCTACAATCTTGTTCAAAGTCAACACTTCATCCTCGAGAAGGGATCTGATGAAATGATATCGTATGTCAATGTGCTTAGTTCTGGAATGAAACACCGAGTTCTTTGCCAGATGTATTGCACTCTGACTGTCACTGTGCAAGACACTCTCCTTTTGAGTGAAACCCAACTCTGCTAACAATCCTTGAAGCCATATCAATTCTTTACTGGCTTCTGTCACTGCTACATACTCAGCCTCTGTAGTTGATAGAGCAACAATCTTTTGTATCCGCGACATCCAACTAACAGCTGTAGCTCCGACAGTGAAAACATAACCGGTGGTACTTCTTCGGTGATCAACTTCACCTCCAAAGTCTGCATCTACGTAGCCTTGTAACTTTAGATCTCCTTTTCTAAAGTACAGACATTTTTCTGTCGTGCCACATAAATATCTAAAAATCCATTTGACTGCTTCCCAATGAGCTTTTCCTGGTTTTGACATAAACCTGCTAACAACTCCCACTGCATGGCCAATGTCTGGCCTCGTACAGACCATCGCGTACATCAAACTTCCAATGGCTGAAGCATAAGGAATCTTAGCCATGAACTCTTTTTCTTCTTTTGTTTGAGGAGACTGGTCCTTGGATAGACGAAAATGGCTGGCCAAAGGTGTACTGACTGGCTTAGCCTTGTCCATGTTAAATCTCTGCAAAACACGGTTGATGTACTCCGCCTGAGATAACTGCAAAACTCCCTTTTGCTTATCTCTCGTGATTTGCATTCCAAGAATCTTCTTTGCTGGGCCTAAGTCCTTCATGTCAAATTCTTTTGACAACTGCATCTTTAATTTTCTGATGTCTTTCTTCATGTCCTCTGGCTTCTTTCCTGTGAGTGGTTGATACATATTCTTCTGGTACAGATAATCCTCGATCTGCATCTTCCAGAAGCCAAAGTCCGCACCGTCGAACTTTTCGATTTTCATTTTTCCTTCGTCTGCAGCCATCACTTCAACTCTGATCTGACTTCTCTGCCGGATCGTTTCCGTAATTTTTGTGAACTACCGTGTTTTATAACACGACGGTAGATAAATTGTAGCGCCGACAAAATTGGTACTATTCACGTTTTTCAACGGAATAGTAACACCACACAAAAATACAGAATTAACAATCTGGCTCTGATACCAGTTGTTGGGAAAAATACGCTGAATTTTCCATGAAGTCGGATCTATAAAAGTGAAATAAAAAATAAAAATTGGACACACCAAATTGATAACGGAGTTCGGCCAATAATGCCTACGTCTCCGGACTACTGCAGATATTTTATTGGGAAAAAGAAAATACACTCGTGTTTACAAAACACTCTCGAAACCACTCACAATTCACAACTCAAAAAATACACACAAATGCTAAATTATTTTTAGCTCACTCTCTTTTTTTATCTCTCTTGTGTTTTTCTTTGTTGTGGTGCTTTGTTGTGATGTATATGTTAATGAGAATACCTCTATTTATAGAGGGAGAGAGCAATGTGAACATTGCACTCAATTCTAGGCACCTGTCAAAGAAAGGATGCTACCGTCCATTTTTCCTTCTTTTGCTGTTGAAAGGCTGCTGCCTTTTTTTCTTTGTTTTGTTGTTGTTCAAAAAACTGCTGTCAAATAAATGGCCCCGCAGCCATTTTTGACTCAACAATATATTAGCAAAATTACAGAGAACATAAATTACATTATCAAGTCCCCTATTCAATTTTGTGCTTTCAGTAGAACACATATTTTGAAAGACTACGAACTAATTTACTAACTTCTTCACCCCATGCTACATGAATCATCTTTATATCCACCATGAAATCCGACCTAAACCATCCCGCAGACTGAAGTTAATTTATGCTTCCATCTTCACAACGTATGAAAGGCTATAATTTAAACACAAACAACAAAAGATGGTGATTAAATTACAAAGCCTAAAAAACTGTGCCTTTTTTTGCAATTTTGCCTTGATTTTAAAAGTATGATGTTGCAAATATGAACTTATGACATGAATGCTGAAAATTATAACTAATAAATAATAGAGTATGCATAAGAGCATCCTGCATTTGCAATTAGATTTACCATAATTGTAGTCTATGATCATGTCCAACACTCTACTAATCATCAATCACACTTAATTTCAAGGCACAAAAAGGGCAATGAAAACCAGGAGATTACATTAAAAAGTAGCTGTTTACAAGCACACAATGAACACAATATTTTATACTCATCATCAAAGGAGATGTATTAAAAACTACTAAAATCCCCCAAAGCTCCAAGGCCCAAGCTCAAAGTGACAGCCCAGATTCCTCGTCCTCCTCGAGGCCCGAAACGTAGACAAAGTAGAGAGCCCAAATTAAACCAAAGACGCCGAAAATGATCCAGCCCAATAGATTGTTGCTCAGCCCAAACGGAAGCCCAGTACCCTCCGTGCTCATTCTCTCATCCACCAAGGCCATGGCGGCTGGGCTGGACACAGCCGCCGCACAAGCCGCCGCCGCCGCCAGTGAAGCCGCCATACCAATACCCACATTCGGCTCGCTCTCTTGTGGCTTTCCTTCCATGGAGCTTCGAACTTTGCCCACGTTCTTGGGCATGGATGGCAAGCCTGTAATTAATTACAACAAATAAAATCTATGATTGCATTAGACAAATTCTGAGCAACAAATTTTGACGGAACTTGCTTCTCTACCTTAGTCCTCACATGATTGCGAAAAATAATTGAAAAAATAAAATAAAAGAAAATGAAAGGACGATTGTGTTAAATCCTCACCCAGGACGGCGGAGGGGCGCACGGCGGAGGCCTTGTGCACGAGGGCGGCGCGTGTAACTAACGAAGCTGAAGTGCAAGCTGTGATGGTGGCCATTTTTTGGTCAAAATTCAATTGATCTTGTTGGGTCAAAATTCACACTGGAGAAAATTCAGTGTGTTAGTGTGATTTGCAATTGCAAGCAGTATCTAATATTATCTCCGTATCAGGCAGCCACACACCTCGGATTAGGTGATTTGAGCCTCATCTGTAAGCACCCAATTTCATGTCGCCACGTGTCACTTGATCCCATGGCAGCCACATGTTCTTTTCCTCAAGTCAAATGAAAAATCCGAATGGGAAGGAAAATAATTGGCTATTGGGGTCAAACATGGAGATATTAAAAGAAACAAGTCTTTTGTAAGTTAGGCTCGACCAGACTCGAGATTCTTTTAGTTTAGTCAGTTTGAGTTCAACTCGTTAATATTGAGAGCAGAGCTTCCATGTTTTGTATGATAAAACCCGAGCTCGATTCGTTTACAGTCCTACACACATAAGTATACATACACGAAGAAATATTTTACAATAAAAAACAAAAGAATCATCAGATTTAACAAATAAAATAAATAAAGAACTAAATAATAGAAATTCAATCACATTTTAGAATGATAACAATAATACACGAACTAGTGCGTTGTACTTTTACAACAAAATGTGTGAAAAACATTTAATTATAACAAAAATATTATACTTTTATCTATGTTAAAATTTATTTTTTAATATGACATTTCTATACTACAATATGTCAATTTGTTGATAGTTATGATTGTCTATGGTTATGTATATCAAATACCAACCTAACTAAAGTTATACTTATTCTTTGAAATATTATGAAGTTATTTCATACTTTTCATGTTGAATGTGTAAGGGCTTGCTTGTTTACAAAATAATTCGTAAAAAATGAGTTATTTTAGTTAATCATAGTTAATTTTTAAAAAATGTAGTATGATTAATTATTAATGGAATTTTAAGAATGTATTAAAATAATATTTAAGACAAAATGATTAAAATTGATTTGATGTAAAAGTAGGAGATAAATGATTGGAAATGATAGGTAGTTAAAATTATGTGAGTGGATAAATAGTGAATTAAAGTTGATGTGATGTGTTAGAATAATTGGTTTGTATTATTTAATTATATGAATAATATTAAAGACAATGGAATTGAGTTAAAATTGAGTTAGATTTTGAGTATGAATTAAAGGTGAGTGAAATAATTGATAAACAAGCATGGCCTAAATATCTTGATCGTGATTCTTGAGGTGTATAAGAACCAATTTTCAGAGAATTTGACTGGTCATTTAACTAACGAAACTGCAAATTCACTTGACCACTAGTTTGAATTCATAGATATTTTTTTGTTCAATTTTCATCAAATATATACATGGCTAATATACATAACAATGAACAAAGATAATATAACATACAATGTCTTATGTCTATAAATAAAAGACTTAAAACGTCATTTGTGGTCACCAACCAATACTAGTTAAAATTCAAAATGAGAATTAAAATAATTCAAAAAGTAGTTCAATGTTAAAATCAAGACAATATAAAAGTCACCAATTTACATTCAAAAAGAAGGAAGAAACTAAAAGGNAAAAAAAAAAAAAAAAGGCCAACCGCCAGAACCTGTGCCCGAACACTGATTTTTAATCAACTCGGGCAGTTCTTGATCTAATTTTCAGGCTGGACAATTTTATCGATAGAATCGAACTATTCAGAATCATGATAAGAACAACAGATAAAATCAGACTAGTGTTGAAGCTGTCCGATTTTCAGAACCACGATACGAACAAAAGAACATCAGGTTTTGAAAGAGAGCAACTTCTTGGAATTAGCCAAAAACCTCAGGTGTATATGTCAGAATTGTATTATGTCTAATGAACATTTGTTACTCTACACAAGACTTACATTTTACATGCACAATATCCAGAGCAACCAAGATAAAACTGCTATGGGCTTCACCAAGATCTGGCTACTTATTGCTAGAATGGTCCAAGCTACTAAAAATTCTATGGCTGTATTAGTATATAAAAAAAAAAAAAAAAAAANAAAAAAAAAAAAAAAAAAGAGAGTAGAAATTCACCTGTAAGAATCATTGAATATTGAGAAAGAATGATTGCATAAATCGAATCTTGTCATGTTGTACCGAATCTAACTACTCGTGAACGTTGCATTGTTGCAGGTATGGATGATCGTATTTGACATGTTCTCTCCAGTAATGCTTGTATCTCTCGAACCCAATATCTAACCACGGTTTATGAATCCCATCAAAATGCAAAACAAAGGCTCGATTTATATTGTCCTGCCTCACACTAGAATCATGCCCTAACCCTAAGACTTGCCACTGATTATCTAAAGCAAGCGTGTGTTTGTAGAACGTGAGCCAACCAATGGGCAAGCTTCCTTCTGTCAAGATTGGCCTCTTATTAGCCTGCACGAACATTAATACATTTGAGTGACGAAATTTATTAACATCTTTGAAATGTTGGGTTTGACATGGATAAAATTCCTAAAACATATTTATATTCGACGGAAAATTTTATACTGGTATTGCCATCTTAGGCTATGTTTGGTAAAACTAGCTGATAGCTGATAAGCATGCTTATAGCTTATTAGTAATTTTCGAGTTTTTAGCTTATAGCTTATATGATAAAAGTGTTTGGTAAAATTAACTGATAAGCTAGCTGAAATAAAAATTTCAACGAGCTTATTTGAAAAGCTACCAAAAGAAGCTTATCAGATAAGCTCGAGCTTTTTAAATAAGCTCGTCCTACCAAACGGAACTTATTTAAATACAGGGAGCTTATAAGCTAATTAAATAGGTTATAAGCTAGCTTAAGCCTTACCAGCTTCATTTTGATGAATACATAAAAACCAACTTTAAAATAAATAGAAGGGAAAGAATGAGAAAGTCATGGCTATGCAGCAGCATTTACGTCCTAGGTCTAGGATAAGCTTCCTATATTCAAATACGTTTCATTTGGTAGGGCGAGCTTTTCTAAAAAGTTCGAGCTTATCTCATAAGCTTCTTTGGGTAGCTTTTCAAATAAGCTGTTGAAAACTTGAAATTTTTATTTTAGCTAGCTTATTAACTAATTTTACCAAACACTTTTATCATATAAGCTAGCTTTCCAGCTATAAGCTCGAAAATCACTTATCAGCTGGTTTTACCAAACATAGCCTAAATACAAAACTCATAGCTATATTTTTTGAAAAACATATGCCCCCTTAAAATGTAACAAGCACCCATTTAAATTTATGTTCACCAAACAAATACCCCATTATGCGACTCTCCAGGTTCCATTTGTAAAAGAGAAACATATATAGATGGGCCCTGATTATTAATAATAACCTGTTTTTTCTTGTAGTTAGGCTAAAACTCAATGGTTATTTTTTGTAATTGGGCAGAAAAAAAAAAACAGAAAAAGGCAACAACAGGTACACCTCATGAAGCGTATCACGCCAATACAAAAAATATGCAACTGACCAAATAAATATGTGAAAAGCACCAGTTATGCTAGCCATTCATTAATATGCACAAACAAGTTTAAAAAAGAAATAAGAAACACTCACCAAATGAAGGTACTTCAGATAGACCCCAGTTAAATTTCGCCGTCTCCATTCCGGAAGATCAAATAAGTTCATCCCAAAAGCCCACGTGCATGAGGTGGCATCGTATTTATCAGCTATTAAGGGGTCTGTGAAATTGACAAACACGTCCATGCGGCGAAAAGAAGGTTCTCCTTCCCTACAAGTCTGCACAGCACCATTTACTCTGCCCCTCATGCTAATGCTCCACAGCCTCGTTAAATCCTTTCTAACCACCACATCATGATCGAGAAGAACGATTTTATTCAGATTTGGGAAAACATCCGGCAAATAAAATCGGAGGTGGTTCAACCCAGAAGTATATCGAGGATCAATAGAACCTTCCCTCTGTAGAGTCACGTTGTATTTGGTGGTTAGCCATTGAAAACCGTCCGTGCTTTCCACGTGAACAGTAGCTTTGCTGGGAGCGTTTAGTAAGAACCACATCGACATTGCCGGAAGGTTAAGGGAGTCAGTTACCACGTGAAATACCAACTTTTCTGGCTCCTGTCAAGTAAAACATTTGAACTGTAATGCTAGTGTTTGACTAATATCGAGAAGCATCTGGTCATTTTCAAGCATAACCCAGGTGCTATGACTGATAGAAAAAATATATAACAGGGATAATTCGAACTTAACACTGCAGTTCGGAGTAATTACCAAATATAAGGCAAAAAATTCACAAAGTATCAAAATTTGAGATTTGGTTCAGTGTTAAAATATAAAGCTTAGTAGTAACTATTCCTATATATAAATACAATATATATAAGAAAAACATCCTTGGAAAGAAGGGAAAAACAGCCACTTACCCTGGCATTTGAGACGGTTGAGTTCACAACAACTGAACAAGCCAATATGTTGTCAGAGAAAACAGCAAAATGATAGAGATGAGGATTTTGTAGTTTATTTTTGTGACGGAACTCCCTCTCCTTAGAGTCCAGGGAAAAATACTCCGCAGTCAATCTCATAGAGAGGCAGTGCAGGCCTTTCGGGATGGTTCTCCCACTCAGCCCTCTAAGAAAAGTTTCTTGATTCCTCTGTGACCTAACCTGCTCCTCGGCATTATGAGTCATGGCTCGAAGCTTCTTAATCATTGCAGCACAATCAGGGTAAATACGACTTGCTTTTAACAATGTAGCTTCCATTGCTTTCATCTTCTGTACAGAACTGAAAAACAGGAGTTTAATATATATAATTTAACGTCGCTAGATTTTCATGAACTTGAGTTTTTTATTGCACTGTTATACTGGAGTCGTCTATGTTTCAGTAAGGGTACGCGACGCTCTCTTAAATGTATGCATGTGACAAGCATGAAGTCATAGGTTTATATTGCTTTGAGAGACTAAAAAAGAAGTATCAATGTACAGTCAGAGATTCAGACTGACTGAGCATGACTACCAACAGTTACAAATCATACCTGGAAAATTAAGGGGTTGTTATCTCTGGTACCAAATGAGAATGTTGACCAATAATTAGGTAAGCCTTTGATAGTTTTAATTTACTAATTACCATTTTCCAAGATTAAACAAGGTTAAACTTATAATAAGTAATCTAAAATACTGAGTAGATATATTCTCATAAGATTATTAGGGATGGCAATACTACCACTTACGAGGTTTAGTGGGCTGGCTAATGAATCCTACTAAGAGTCGTCACCACCAATAATAAACATCTGGTTAGGTAACAATTTTAGTATGATAAACCTAATCAGAGTAAGTTGGAAGTGGGAGCTCAGTCACCAAGTTACACATCAGAATCTAAATGATGATTCTTATTAGCCTTCAATTCCCACAATCTCACAAAATAGTATTGTGATAATCAGAGTTCATATAAACATAAAGTGCAATGAACAAGAAGATTAGAATGAGAATGTGGTACCTCCTAGATAAATGAGAATTTTTGGAGGATTGACTCATGGCTCGTTCAACCTCTTTCATTCGTAGTTTTAACTCTTTCACAATATGAGAACTGCTATTTGATGGTCTGAAATTTAAGTAAGCTTTGGCCCTGATCACTTGGTCTTTCATCTCTTTCACCTTTTCTTCCAAAGCTCCCGACCTACTCCGTACAACCCGATTAAGCTGTGTCTTGTCTTTGTGAGACTCTTCCTTTGGTGAACAAAATGAATAAATTAGTGGGAGAGAAGCAAGCAAAAGAAAATAGAAGGAAAAAAGAGAGAAATTTCAGAAAGCATTTAACTTGAAGAAAGTCTGCACAATCCCCAGGAAAAAAAGGGTATATAAAGCGAGAAGCATTGAGTTAAGTATGCAAAATATGAAAATGTGGCAACAGGAAGACCAGCTTTGATATCATCCTCAAAAGTTGGATCTGTGGAAATAACAAACAAGTAAATACATATTCACAATTTATTGGCAATTAACAATACATCCTTGAGAAAATATTAGATGTCATAGATCTTGTACAAGAGAATCAGAAAATGATGGAAAAATTACGACATAAACAGAACCGTGAATACTTCATACCAGGGTAATATAAGTACAATTATTAGAGAAGGTTCTCTAGCATCTCAGAAACACAAATTTCTTATCCAGGGTAGAAAATTTAACAGACTCATCATCCAAATAAACTTCTATTAGCATGCTTCAGAAATTGGTTCACCACATAGTCATCTCTCATCTCAGTCTCTAACAAGCAAAATTTGTCGGAATATGAGTCGGTCCAAAACTAGTTCAGCATACAGTTTCACGGCACAATTACAGATGATTTAATTGTTACCAAGCATAGGTATACCACTCAAATAAAGTTTGTAAAGTTGTCACGTTATAGTCTTCTTGCACTTGATATAATATATTATATTAACAATTTAACATAATATCTGACTTTAACTTTTTCAAAAGTAAACAATAAAAATATACAGATCAACTTCAATGACTGTATTATATGTAAGCCCAATAATTCTAACAATGACAAAAAAACACAAAGAAAACATACACATATTAAGCAATGAGAATAACATACCCTTGCCCCAGATACGGCCAACTCTTCTTGCTGTCTTTTCTGGCCACTTTCACTAGTATCATGTCTAGTTGCTGAACTTGAAACCAGATCAGACAAACAGTACATATCACTGCACTTTAAATCAGCAACAAAAAGAACTGAAGAAAAACACATACAAATACTAATTAGTACCAACCAATATTTTCCAACAAGTCAGCATCATTTGCAGCATTCCTAACTTCACCAGAAGTTGTATCCTCACTATAACTAGGATTAACTGGAGAATTATGGGTTTCTTCTTTGTACACCACCAGAGGGGGTTCTTTCAAACCTTCCCCTTCCTGTTTTATAAAAATTGAAAAAAAAAAAAAATAGCAGATAATCCTGGAGAATAATTTCAAAACGGCATAATCAATATGTGACATGCATTTACATATCCAATTACCTGTTGTATTGCATTTAGTATTTGCGCATCCGTTCTGTGTTTCTGTACAACAGGAATCAAAATATAGTTACTAAGTAATAAATGTGAACTAAGCAAAAATTATGAGAAGGAAAGATGAATCGGATGCATTCCAGATATCAATTCCAGATATCAGAATACCAATGTTTGCACTTTGCACGACATATTTGAATACAAAACTGATATGAACTCTAAAAGCACAAAACACAGCACAATCAACACCATGTTCACGTAAAACACACAATGCTGGAGTTTAATAAGACAAATTCATCTTCAGGAAGTCTACTGCCCGAAACATACGATGCAGATAACATTGCAGCAGCATTATTAAGACTCATCATCGAATCATTCAAGCCGTATAACACTATCATAAGTACTTAAAGAAGATAGAATCATACTATGATCGATAAATCTTCAACGAAGTCTTNTACACGAATCAAATTAAACTGAAAAAGAAAAATGAATCAAAAATCATAGATAACTGCAGGTGACGGAGGGAACAGCAAATGTACTTACCATCGGATTTAATATGTTTGAGCCTGTACGACAGTAAAAAAACAGGAACAAAAATAACACAGAGCATACAGAGGATCAAAATCCTCGAGCATTTGCGAAATGTTCTCATCAATATTCTCCACCAAATCGATTCAATCGGCGATCCTCCGCATCGGAAAGCCCAAAAATGAAAAACGAAATGCCGATTTCTGAAATATCAAAGTCTGAAAAAATCACGTGACGACGGGGAGAGAGAGACTAGGGTTTTTCCCTGTCCGGGGAACGATGATAAGATCTCGGGGAACTCACCGCCGTGTGCTGGGAGTAATTTCAATTTTGCCGACCAAAAACAAATCAAATGGAAAATGGAAATCTCGGTGATCGGAGATGGCGGGGGAGACCGGGAGAGGTGCGATTTACATACAATAAACGTGACACTTCCATTAAAATTGGTAATTCGTTTTCTAATAAATAATTTTAAATTTTAAAATGGTGGGAACTAAAATATAAATATAGAGTTCTCGAAATTAATTATCAATTAATTGTAGTTATAATATCTGCTTGATTAAAATTAGTAAATTATTTCCTAATAAATAATTTAAAAATGATGGGAACTAAAAGCATAAATATAGACTTTTTGAATTTAATTATTAATTTATTGTAATGATAATTTTTAATCTATATATATAATTACTAGCTAATCTCATTTAATAAAACCTTTAATAAAAACATTTTCACTTTCCCTTCAAAAGAAGCTATTTTTTTTAATTAATTACTCACTAATCCCGTATTTAAGAAAGTTTCTTTTAGTTAAACCTAATTAATTAATGGCTAAATTAAAAAGGTTTCTTTTAGTTAATCCCACAATTATGTTTCTTATTCTAATTTATATATATAAACGAGACAGTCATTATTGTTGTGCAAAAACTATATATTATTATTTTTTATTCCACTGTGAATTGAATAAGAAATTAAAGTTATAAAAAATATTAATAAATGTATTAAATACAACATTATAATACAGATCATGTTACATTACAATATAAAAAATAAAATTATTTTTTTTGTAATTTAATTTCCAGCCATACTCCATCAAATATATAGCTGCAAAATGATAAGAAAGATTAGTTTCACAATTACAATTTAAAATTTAGCTCCCCCAAATGGTAAAACCTTATAAATTAGTAGTATAGATATATTTAAATGACATATAATTTATAAACTTGGACTATACGCATAATAAGATGAATTAAAAAAAATAATGAATTAAATAAATAAATTGTTATTATAACACAATCTATATAATTATTATAGCAAAGTCTATATTGTCAATATTATCATTTAAAAAGTTCATTGAAAAAACATATGTATAAAAAAAATCCATATGATCATAATTAATTAATAGTGCAAAATTAACTATCTTTGACTTTTCATTTGGTGGTAATAATAAAATATTTTATACTACTACTATTCAATAAAATGCATGATTTCTGCAAATTTGATTATCGCAATCAACATTCTGTTTTATAAATTAAAAAGTGTGTTGAAAAAATTGTCTCATATTTTTCATTAAAAAAAACTGTTGGCCGTGAAAAAAATATTATTTCACAATTATAAATATATATATGATTAATTTTCATCAAACAATTCCTCTTTAAGAATAAAGTGGCGGGACAAATTTCTGCATGATTATAGCATCAAAGCATATCCAAAACATCAATATTTTAATGCATTAAAAATCATACTTTCAGCAACAGAAAAGTCATATTAAACGGAAATTCGCAAAGTCGAATAATGAGGATTGACAAGGCATTGTATGTAATGGTAGATTGTTGCATAATATAGAAATATCAACCATAATTAATAATCAACAAAAAAAAAGTCAAATCTATATGAAAAAATCAAAATTAAAAACACAGCAAATTATGTGGAACATTATTGGACACTATACAATATAGAAAGAAAAATAATTTGATTTCTCTATCATTATCAACACGTTCAACTTTTACCAAGACATCTGACTTTATATTAAAATCGATTTTTTGTGTAAAAGTTTTAAAAATAAAAAATCCTACAGATTCTTTTAAACATTAAACAAGAAATTCCTAATATGCGATAAATATATCTAAACAGATTTGTTATAAACTTACCTAATATTTCCAAATTTTGAACAAAATACTAAAAACTTTGAAAAACTTCGGCAAAAGACTTTGAACAACTTCAAAAAGGCGATTTTGAACAAGTGTTAGCAAAGCTTCACTTACTGATATGATGAGAAAGACGATAAAGAATTGAACTATTTAGTGTTCAAAATCTGAACAAAATACATAAAAGTTACATATGTATGTCATAAATAGATATGAACATATATGTTATAAACTTACCTATATATTTGTTAGTAGAGCTGAACAGATCTGTTAGAAACTTACCTATTTTTTCAAATCCTGAACAAAATACATAAAAGTTTGAAAAAGTTCGACCAATGTCATGTTCTCTTCGAAAAATGATTTCGAAAAACATCTAAATAATTTCAAATTATGTATAAAATATGATATATCTTTGAAGCTTATTCATAAAGAATTTCAAAAAACGACACAGATCATTGAAAATAATAAAAAATAAAAACTACGTTTAACAAAAAATATTTCAACTCTTCATAAATTTGTAATATTTTCGCCCGATTTTGACTGACCTGTTAAGATTTAGAATCGGGACGAATATTTATTTTTTGATCACTACTATTGGCCACAAAAACAACATTTCTGGGATGTTTATTTTTTAAGCCTTTACCGGGAGAAAATCTCCGGTAAAATAGTTGTTTTGTATTGAATCTCGGCGAGTTTGTCGTAAGATCGGGTTAAGGATTAGGGTTTCAGACAGAGTGAATAACGAGAGAAGCGCCGACATCAAACAAAAAAAATGGCTTACATCACTCTCAAGGAGTTTATCTCTATTTATAGTCATGTTATCATTGACTAGTTTTATATTTGATTTTGGCTACCCTAAAAAATTAATTGGACTAATTTGGGCTTTTTTATTATTCAATCAATATATTTCTTTATGGCCCAAAAATTGCCATTTTGTTCAAATGTCTTAAATATTTAGCACATATCATTATTTATCAACTAAATACAATTATTTATTTTATAATATTTTGCTGGTATTTTTCTAGTATTTTTTTTTTTAAATTTCCTATGTGATCTATAGTACAAAATACAATAATTATTTAAACAAATAAAACCATTATATGTCTTAACTTGAAGATAGTGATTTGTAGTGATGGAAATTCTGTTGATAGAAAAACCACAAACGTTGTATATAAAGTATTGTTTAACAATATTTAGTTATTCTTTCTTAGAACATTTTTTCAATGATTATATTATGATTTTTATTATTGTTTATATCTTTTTATTATGTTTTGTTCTATTATATTGCTGTCCGTGCAAATGCACGGGTTAAAAACTAGTGCTTCATAACTACATAGTTCCAATTTAATTATCTATTCATCAATGACAATTTCTATACTTAATCCTAGTGTATATGTATCTAATTTAAATTTCTCATGATGTTACCATGCTTATTTTCATTTGTCAATTTATTATATTTTGTATTATTATATATAAATTTTAATTGTGATCAATATCTATAACATATATTGCACTTTATAGAATATAATTATATAATTCCAGTTGCAAAAGTCAATGTTACATTTTGTTTAGTTTTTGCCCATAAAAGTATTTGATTTATATTAGACATCTCAAATCCAATAATTATTATAATTTAAATACAAAAGTCAAGACTACATTCTTTTTACCCATACATATTATGGTTTACATTAGAATTTAGACATGTCAAAAAAACAATAATTATAGTTCACATTACAAGAGTCAAATTTACATTCTTATTACCCATGAATATTATGATTTACATTAGACATGTCAACACCAGTTGGCTACCAAGCCGACCGATCACAATAACTTTCATTTTGGTAGGTGAAAAGGGCCTAAGAAAGTGTTGGGTTTAGGCCCATTTTGACCACTGGAAATGTCTTATTGTTTGCACAATCACATATCCACTAAATATATATATTTTTGTTTGCACAACACTTAGTAAGGAAAAATAACCACTATGCATCACTCAAGCATATAGTAAAAATAGCACATAATACACAATATTCCCAACACTTGTGTAAACAGTACAAGACCATTTGTCCAGTCGCAAATACAACAAACTGAGTACATTAGCATATAGTAAAACGAGCACAAATACCAAGCATGAAACCCTTAAGACAAAACACTTCAAATTTCGCATTCGGGAGGAATGAGCATACATGACACTAATCCAAAATGTAGAATAGAAAATGTGAATGTAAGATTCACTTGCTGGACATGTCTCTGAGTAATGCAGATCCAATCGACTCAAAGTTCGATAAATCCCCATCAAATTCATGCCTCATCCCACTCATCATTTTTGTATGATACCAAAGTGTCAACCTTGTGAATCTGCAAACACAAAACTTCGTCACATTAAATTACCGAACAAGGTCAATAAGATTTGCCTTTCAAGCAAAAATCCAGCAGCAGATTATTCACTTAAGTCGCTAATTATCACCTTTGTATCAAAAGAATGCAACTTCACCATCTGTGGATTAGCAATCAGCTTAGGATCACTCTCGATCCAAGTAAGCGGGACATCACAATCTTTGTCTGTGTATGCTAAGACGTCAAATACACCTAACAGTAAAAACCAGAAAATCATATAGTTCATATCCNAAAAAAAAAAAAAAAAAAGAACCCAAGAAGGTACTCGTTTAATTCTTACAGCCAAATGTAATTAACATGATTATTCTTACAGGGCTCATCAAGACACGGCAAATACGTGATACTCGAAGCTATCTGCCGCATGATGGCCTGAATTTCCCTCATGATTTCCTTGTCGCTCTTCTCCCTTGAAACTCTGGGTCAAAATTCCAATTTCACGAGCCTGTAACTTATCAAAGTTCCACATAGAGAAATTTAATTGAAACTTGCATGTGAAATTAATTTATACCCTTTCTCGACGACCTCACTATCCGTCTCGATACTAAAATTCCATCTCTCTAAAACCTCACCACTGCCCTTGCTCATAATAACTAGAACTACCCTTTGCAACTTCCCAGCTTCAAGCCATTCTTCTCAAAAAAATTGTGCAGCAAACAATGAGTTCATCAGATGCGATATTTCTTCAAGAGTGGATATTGTAACTATCCCTACTGTATATGTGAAGAAGTGAAAATACCAGTAAGCTGAGAAGTCAATTTCGAAATGAAGGATTTGACGCCTTCATCTTGAGTAAGCAACATTGGCAGGCCATATTTCTTCACCTTCGCAAAACTTTCTTCGGGATACACTGCTCGATTGTACAAAATACTGAAAATTTCGACTAAAATCAAAATCCCATATCTAAAGCCCATACAAATTGCACGATGAATGAAAATTAACAGAAATGATAAATATATTCTTACCTATTTGCAGCATACCCTGAAAACCAGAAGAACCCATGTCAATCAACATTAATTAACAGAAGACCAGAAAAAACAAATGAAATCTACTAATAAAAAGGAAAAAGGAAAATCGAACAGCAAAAAGCTCGGGAAAGAGAAAGGGGCAAACCGAAGAACTCGCTGACAATGGCGGCAGATCCCCGGAGTGTGATTATATCTTTAGTCGCAGTTCTTGAAGCCATTTGACGAATCGATTCTCACTGTGACTTGGAAATTTAACTTGATCGGGTATAACCTAACACGAACAGAACAAAACAAAACAAAACAAAGGACTAATTTCACTGTCAAACCCATGAATACACTCCATTTAAGGCCTATAAACCCTTGAGTAGAACAGCAACAACCCCAAAAGGCTAAAATTAAAATAAAAATCCTAAATGCATTTCTAGATTGAAGTGGGCGACAGAAACCCTAAAATCCTGAAAATGGGGGGAAGGGCGAAAACAAAGTCCGGATAAAACGGGAACATTGCGAAAGACAACATTCGCAGGAAAATCGACGACAGATAAAAACAAACCGACAATTGAAGGAATAAAGTATGAACATTACCACTTCCGAAGCGATTTTCTGAATCTTTCTCAGACAGTTGGGGCTTTCTGACACTGCGCGTTTGGTGAAATGAAAGGAAGTCGAAACTCGAATTCAAATGTTTCGGGGAAAAGTGAAAATTCAAAAAAGAAATATTATC